GGCCAGAGCTTTATTCAGCAGCTTGCCCTGTTCATTGACGTCACGGACGTCAGTGTTCGCACATGGGATAGCGAATCATTTGCGCTTTTGCGCTCCAGCCTGACGATCTCACGGACGCGCGAGACCAGCCGCCGCTCATCGGTGCCGCGCACGGGCTGAGGACTCTATTCCCGTACCCTACTGCAGAGTTTTTATTTTTATAAATCATTTTTTTTAATAATATTTCATTTCTTCGGGAAGATTGTTCTTTCCTTTACGCCATGGAGAAGATGTCTCGACCTCTTCCTATAAACCCAACTTTCCTACCTCCGACTCACGGCGTCCTGAAATCCCTGCTGGAGAACCCCACGAAACTGCCCTTTCATCACGATGAAGGTATACAGATGGATAGATGTTGCTTTCGGGGGGTTAAAGCGTGTTCTGCACCAGCTGATGTTTGTCAGGCGCGGTGCGCGCTTTTGCTTTCCGTATAATCTGCGCATAAAAGCGCGTCTGTCACTGTGCGCTCACACCTTTACCAGCACCTGCTCATGCATGCATGCTGTCATGGACACTCGCTTTGAATTCTGAAGTGATTTTGGGCTGAAAGTTTGTTTATTGATATTTTTTTTTGCATTGCATTGCATTCATTTTACGCACAAACATAGATCCATTGCGCAGTGTATTTAACCGAAATGCACGATGTTATCCGTTTAAAATATGCTTATATTGCAACATTTGCTCACATATAAGAGGAATAAATAGAGTCTACTGAACCAATACCGGCTTTTATGCGGAAAGATGAAGTTCGCACGCAATGGAGATAATATTCTCATATTTTCCTTTAGAGGGCGCCACTGAGCGCCACCTTTGATTTGTGTTTGTGCTTCATCACCAGTCCTTATCACATATTTAAACAGTATAAATAAAAAGTTGTTTTTATATTTGGTTGCACCTAAGGAGGACATGCATTAGCTTGATAAACTGAACTTTTGTCAGTTTGCACAATAAATATTGATTTGGTTGCATTTTTTTTTTTATTAGTTCACCCCTCATGTCATTGCAAAACTGTACTTTGTTTGTTCTCTGGAATGCTTAATGAGAAATGGTGGAAAGCAGCCACTCTTTCCCAGTGCAAGTGACTGGCACAACTGAGCTTGAAATGACTAAGAACGAAACAAACGGTCAAAAGTAAGATGTTGTATGATCTTGAATAAAGTCCAATATGTGGTGTGTGCCACTTTTAAGATGCGTTGGAACTGCATATTGTAAAGATATTATATATATTTTTTAAATTGTAAAAAATATTGCTCTGTGCACATAAAATGATTTAAATTGAATTGATTTTTGATACTTTTTATGCTGCTTTTCTATGGGGTTTGAGTTGTATTCAGCAGGCCTGTCGCAATTATTGATTAATCGCCTCTTGTGGTTATTCGATCTAATCGCAATTATTTGAGATAACTGCAATAATTGTGTAGTTTAAATTTCAATTTTGCTAAAGAATATAACAACAACAGCAAACAAACAAACACTATTGTAAAGTACACAACAATAGATAAAGGTCTTCCTTTGTACAAAATTAAGGTTTGTGGGTTTAATCAGACTGCATTATATTATATTATATTTAGAATAAATTAAATGAGCCTATTTTATTATAATTTGTATTATTATATTATATACAATTTAGAGTAAAAAAATAATGTATTTGGCTTACACTGTAAGTTACATGAACAAAACTGAATTAGATCATTAATCGCAATCATTAGTCATTATATTATTTTATATTATATCATATTATATTACATTAAATGATGATTAATCGTCAGCACAACATTCATATCATAATCATGCCTCCTATTATTCACCATCAGCTTTTGTTGAACGAAACATACAATTCATACATGTTTGGAACAACATAAATGTGCAGAATTTTTTGACAGAAAAATGTACTGAATTTTATGTGTGTGTTTGTTGGCGACAATAATGCCTCCATCTTGTTCCTCCAGGGTTCGGGAAAGAGAAAGAGAAGGAAAAGAAGCTGGAAGAGGATGGAAACGGTCTAAACACCCCTCAGTCCGCCTTCCTGGGGCCGACGCTGTGGGACAAGACCCTGCCGTACGATGGTGACAACTTCCAGCTGGAGTATATGGACTTAGAGGAGTTTCTGCTGGAGAACAATATTCCCGCCAACTCTCAGAGCGAGCAGAACCAGCCTTCCCAGCAGCCCCTGCCACCACAGCCTCCCTCCACCCCGCCGACTCCTTCAGTGGTGGACCTCAGCAACCGGGCCACCACCTCCGTTCACTCCGGGATCGGGGGCCAGAACTGCCTCCAGAGTCCCAGCAGAGCAGGTACTGTCCCCATCACACACACCACTAACTGACACCCGGATGTGCTTTCTCTTCGCATACACTCTTACTAATAAAGGCTGTTTTGCAGCCATGCCACCAAAGAACCACTTTTGGTTCCCCAATGAAATTTTCAGTGAACAAAAGAACCATGTTTCTTATTATAAAACTGTTAGTTCCAATCCTTGATTCTGATTGGTCATTAGCTATGTTTTATTCACGACGAAACACGGCTCTAATCGCTTCACCCAACGATTTTATGTCTATGATTACTACACAACACCCCTAGCAACCACTCTTAGCAACGTAAACACACGTTTGTTCTCATTGATATTGCTCATTGTCGTATTGTGAGAGCTCGACATAGCAGTTTTTTCCTTCAGCTCAGTCTTATATTCATAATAATGAATCCGTTTGAATGTCCGCTGCGATATCTTGTCCTTTTAACAGTTAAGGGGTTTTCCGTGCCCGGTCATTTGTCAGTTGCGTCTTGCTTTTCTGTGTTTACAAGTTTGAGTCTTTTCATTGTAAAAGTCTTCTCTACCGACTGACTCACTCATGAAGACAGTCTCTGTCGCCATCTAGAGGCGAAATAATATATGTGACTTCTGTTGCTGTCTACGGTCAGGGAGGGACTATTTTTTCCAGTGGAAGGTAGGCTTTTAGTGACTTTACTTCATGAAAATTGCATAGATACATATTTTTCGCCTTTAATATTTGCATTGTGTGGTAACGTTAACCGTTGGTACTCGAGGCTAGTGCTGTAGCTGCTATCGTGAATAAGATCACGGCTGACTCAGCTTCGCGTCATGCCTTTATTTTTAAGAGTGTGTGTTGAGAGTTTATCATCTTGGTTAATCATCAATGAAAAGTTCAATGCCTTCTGCACTACTTCAAGGACGTTTCATTTCCATTATTTATTTTCTGTGTTTCTAGTAGTTGAAAACTACTAGAATAAGTAGTTGCTTTACTTTTAAGTAAATGCTGTGGCAATTTAATAAATCGCCACAATCATTCTAATATGTCAAACATAATCATAATAACCTTCTTTAATAGGTCGGAAAACCTTCTCTGTCAATATTAAACTTTATCATTATTATTATTAGTTCTGATAGGAAAGATTAATCAAATCTAGCCATCAGGAATGGAAACATGACCGTAGCCAATCAGAAAGCCAGTTATGAGTCATGTGACTCTCTGTGGTAAAATGTTATTGTATATAAATATCACTGGATCGTTCTTCTGTTTTCTGTAGCTCTGAAGAGATCGGATCTCTGGAGCCCTTTAAAGATTCACCAGCGTATAATTACCCAAAACTCAAGCTCCGGCCCAACCTCATGGGTTTGAGTGATAGCTCGTATAATAGGGACTCTTGGACTCTTCTACAGTGTTTGTTTGCTTGAAGTCCATGTCGTCAGGTGTTTTAGTGGGTCGTGGTGAAGCGCATCAATACTACCTTTCCCGGTTTGAATTTTTTTGCTAGAGGCTGCAGGGGAAAATAAGAGAGAATTATTTTGCAAGCATGCATGCATATAGAAGACAGAAATGCATTTCTTACTGACTCTAGTGGGGCCTGCATGATTGTGACATTTTTGCAACAAAAACCTTAGACAACTCATCCTGATGCATTTGCATTATACAGTGATAGGCATCTAAAAAACTTTTCTTTTTTTTTAAATGAAAGAACAAAACGTTTTACAATGAGGTTTTATTAGTTAACAAGAACTACTCTAACATTGAAAAACCCTTCTATTGCATTCAGTTAATCAGAATTTACTAATACATTATTAAATTCAAACTTTGTATCTGTAATGATTTGATGGACCTGAGTGTATTTGTATTAACCCTCATGTGGTGTTCAAAACCCTATAACACCTGTGGTGTTCCCGGTCAAAAATGACCGGGCCATAAAAAAAACCTTATAAATCACTCATTATACCATATTTTAACCCAATCTTGGATTCAATCTTTTTGTCAACATGTTCTCTTTCAATTAGGACTGGTTTTATATTTTGATTTGCATCTGAATAACCATAGGCCTCATTTATTTGAGAGTAGGCATTTCATTTTTTGAGTAATTTTTTTTACAATTTTTGAATCATTTTGGATTTATTAAATAAAATCTGAAGAAAATTGGTATTGTTGATCACACTAGTCAACTTAACATTTTCACCAGGAATTTTGTTTTGATACTTTTGTTTTGTAAAAAATATGGCACATAGTCACACTTGTGGTGTTCCCGGTCAAAAATGACCGGCCTATAAAAAATAGCTTATAAGTCACTCATTATAGCATATTTTCACCCAATCTTGGATTCAATCTTTTTGTCAACTTGTTCTCTTTCAATTAGGACTGGTTTTATATTTCTGTTTGCATCTGATTAATCGGGGGCCTCATTTGTCTGAGAGTAGGCATCTCATTTTTTTAGTAAAAAACAAATCATTTATGAGTAAATTTGGAAATATGAAAAAAAAAATGAAAAAAAATGGCTACTGTTGATCACACTAGTCTACTCTAATGTTTCACCAGGAATTTTGTTTTGAAACTTTTGTTTTGTAAAAAATATGGCACATAGTCACACTTGTGGTGTTCCCGGTCAAAAATGACCGGCCTATAAAAAATAGCTTATAAATCACTCATTATACCATATTTTCACCCAATCTTGGATTCAATCTTTTTGTCAACTTGTTCTCTTTCAATTAGGACTGGTTTTATATTTCTGTTTGCATCTGATTAATCGGGGGCCTCATTTGTCTGAGAGTAAGCATCTCATTTTTTGAGTAAAAAACAAATAATTTATGAGTAAATTTGGAAATATGAAAAGAAAATATGAAAAAAATGGCTACTGTTAATCACACTAGTCTACTCTAATGTTTCACAAGGAATTTTGTTTTGAAACTTTTGTTTTGTAAAAAATATGGCACATAGTCACACTTGTGGTGTTCCCGGTCAAAAATGACCGGCCTATAAAAAATAGTTTATAAATCACTCATAATACCATATTTTCACCCAATCTTGGATTCAATCTTTTTGTCAACTTGTTCTCTTTCAATTAGGACTGGTTTTATATTTCTGTTTGCATCTGATTAATCGTGGGCCTCATTTGTCTGAGAGTAGGCATGGTCAAAAATGGTCACAATGGCCGACCATTGAAAGTGAATGGGAGAGACTGAAAATAACAGAACAATTTAGTTTTCAGGAGCATGTTCATTATTTTCATGTACACATATGAGCATGTGTGCTTGCAAACATCGAGCCCTTGGACCTGTGCATGTATCGATACATTTATACACACGCTACCCAGACACACACATGTTAAAACACACAAACTTTTTAAAATATTACACACATTCTTTTCCACAGAGAGAAATTTGATCCTACCCTAACCTGCATCTATTATACATTTATCCATCTGACATTACCACACACACACACACACACACACACACACACAGGCCGTGATCAGATTTTTGACTCAGAAACTAGTGAGGAGGAGGAAATTCAGGATGCATCTTGCAGTGAAGATGTTTCTGAAGAGGAAGGCACCACTGAATCGGCTACGGAGCTTGAAACAACTGATGAGGAGCAGTCTTCCAGTGATGAGGGCCCAGCTGAGGTTTACCGTTTCATTCTGGTCAAAAGATGGAACTTTGTCCTGGCCTTCATCCCCACCTATGAGGCAAGGCAGGTTTTCTTCTGAAGGCCTTCCTCTTCAGAAACATCTTCACTGCAAGATGCATCCTGCATGTCCTCCTCGTCACTAGTTTCTGAGTCAAAAATCTGATGAATAACATCATGTGCAGAGCTGTTTTGCCATTGTGCTGCCACAAATGAATGACAAGCAAGGTGCTGTGAGGCATTTTATATATGCCTGTGCTATCACATGATGTATATTTGTAAATATTGTCTAGTTCTGTGTGAGAACCTCACAGTTCCAAAACAAAATGTCATAATATTTTGTCTGAAAGCTGTGATGAAACAAGACCATGAAAGAAAGATTCTTTTGAAGCCGGGTCACTGCAGTCATGGCCAGTTTGTGTGTGTGTGTGTGTGGTAATGTCAGATGGATAAATGTATACTAGATGCAGGTTAGGGTAGGATCAAATTTCTCTCTGTGGAAAATAATGTGTGTAATACTCAAAAAAGTTTGTGTGTTTTAACGTGTGTGTGTCTGGGTAGCGTGTGTATAAATGTATCGATACATGCACAGGTCCAAGGGCTCGATGTTTGCAAGCACACATGCTCATATGTGTACATGAAAATAATGAACATGCTCCTGAAAACTAAATTGTTCTGTTATTTTCAGTCTCTCCCATTCACTTTCAATGGTCGGCCATTGTGACCATTTTTGACCATGCCTACTATCAGATAAATGAGGCCCACGATTAATCAGATGCAAACAGAAATATAAAACCAGTCCTAATTGAAAGAGAACAAGTTGACAAAAAGATTGAATCCAAGATTGGGTGAAAATATGGTATTATGAGTGATTTATAAACTATTTTTTATAGGCCGGTCATTTTTGACCGGGAACACCACAAGTGTGACTATGTGCCATATTTTTTACAAAACAAAAGTTTCAAAACAAAATTCCTTGTGAAACATTAGAGTAGACTAGTGTGATTAACAGTAGCCATTTTTTTCATATTTTCTTTTCATATTTCCAAATTTACTCATAAATTATTAGTTTTTTTACTCAAAAAATGAGATGCCTACTCTCAGACAAATGAGGCCCACGATTAATCAGATGCAAACAGAAATATAAAACCAGTCCTAATTGAAAGAGAACAAGTTGACAAAAAGATTGAATCCAAGATTGGGTGAAAATATGGTATAATGAGTGATTTATAAGCTATTTTTTATAGGCCGGTCATTTTTGACCGGGAACACCACAAGTGTGACTATGTGCCATATTTTTTACAAAACAAAAGTTTCAAAACAAAATTCCTGGTGAAACATTAAAGTAGACTAGTGTGATTAACAGTAGCCATTTTTTTTCATTT